ACTGCCTCCCAAACATGAGTCGGTTTACCAACTTAGGAACAATAGACTGTTTGAACGATTCGAAACTAATACAGAAAGATTTAAAAAAACTTTTATTCCTATGTCTAGTAACTTAAGTTAATGTAATTTTTAGTACTAAGCGTTTTAACGACCATTTGTAAATATGCCTAATTAACCCATATTCTATCTTTTAAATAATGTTTTATATACTCTTGTAAATCACGCAATTCAGCTGTCCAGCTGCAAGGTGAATTTTAAATACACTATCTATCTCTATCTATCTCTCGAACCTGTGGCCCTGCGATCAGGGGTGGAAAATATAGGCGAGCACACGAGCACTGCTCGCAGGAAATGTTCAACAGCTGTAGGAAATTCGTTTAAATAAAGATTTGCTATTGAAAATTTAAAGGAAACCTTAAAACCCATGTCCCACTATGGGCGCAACAACATATGGTTGACAGACATTATTCCTTGAATTTAAAACCATGGTTAGCTGGAATATTATATGTTTATGCACATGTAGATTTTGCACAAAAATACTCTTTTAGTCTGCAGGAAATTCTTGTCTCCAGGTTGTGCTCCCAGGAAGAAAATTCTTCTTTCCCGCCCTGTCTTGCGGTCCGGTGCAGCGCTAGAGAACCAACTAAACTTTCGAACTGATAGAGCCTTTCAGTATAATTAACGTTAGTTTAGTATCGTTTCTTTTTTTCCTTAGAACTTACTTCGTAACATGGTGGAACTATCCTTGGCCTTGAAAGATTACTCCACGGTTATTCAATGTACGGAGAAACTGCTGGTTCAAGACCCCAATGAACTCTTCGCATTGATTTTCCTTGGTCGCGCCCAGGCCCTTACAGGTGATCTCACGCGGTCAAAAGAAACATTCTCTCGAGGTTTGTCGCTGGCACAGCAAGCCCAAGACGAGGAAAATACTACAAAGGTAACAAATTTGTTACATCAGGCATATTTTCGACAAACCTTTGACACTCCAGTCTAGTCACTCTAGTGTCTTCATCAAGAGTTATCTTAATTATGTGGCAACGTGGTTCCTTGAGTATATAATTATATACTCTCATCTGAACATTCATATCTCATCCACCCGTTCACATCCATCACGGAAGAACAAAATCGCACCTATAATCACAGCAAAAGGTGCGAGTGTAAATGGGCCTTTATATTTCCGAGCGATGATGTCACTGCCCAAAGATACTCCTGTTAGCAACAGACCTACGTTTTCCTGCCTTAAACTGAAACTTTCAAATTTGCCTAACCATCCCACCCGCAAAACATGGGTCTGCCTGCTCCAGTGGTGCTCAGGCTGTATAGCTCAGTATTCTATCTGGCCACCGAAGCATTTGTACACCTTATTGGCGTAATTAGGTTATTTTGGTGTACATGTTGTTATTGACGCAAACTAACCTAATTACTTTATCAATGTCTTTGTCATCACACGCAGAACTGACAGAAGCCCTAATACTTGTTTGTTATTCCTTTGCAGTTTGAAAATTTTCTGAAAATGCTGGAAGGCGCTACTCAGTGACAACCGAACTTTTTAGTTACATCTTTCCTAATTTATTTATTGAACATTGTATTTATTCGTATTGTATTTATTTATTTTATTTATTTATTTATTAGGCTTTGCCAAATCAACTTAAAATCACTTGCTATACATACATGAACATAAACGATACATACATTGACATGGCTGGGTATACGCTACAGCTTCCGCCAATTACAGCGACCCTTTACACAATACAAGACAAACAAACTTTAAAATATCGGGAGTTAAAAGCAGAATACCCCACCAATTTCTCTTTATACAAAAATTTCTGTATATCAAGCTTACTAAATTCGTACCATGCAGAATATTTATATTTTAATTGTTGTTTAATTTATTCGTATTGTATTTATTTGTATTTACATATTGAACATTTTGTATTTGTGCATAATAATATTTGGACTTTGCCTTTGGAGGGCAAGAAAAATGCTCAATGCTGTGCTTTGTCTCACTCCTTTGTTTACAGGGGGGTGTGAATAGAGGTATAGAAATCCGCCCAAATTTGAAGCAAAATCCGCGATCCGACAATGGTCTTGTCTAAATTTGAATCCGCTAAAAGTAGTCTACTTAACTGCTACGAGCCCTATCTACTTAACTGCAAAGAGCCCTATCATTCCTATCACAATATTGAAGTTTTATTTGAAAACGGGCAGCGTTTTATGTCGCGACTGTTCATTTTAGATGCAAATGACGGTGTATTATGGTGGATCCTCCAGAGTCTTTTACAAAATTCTCGTCCGAGTTAAACAGGACCCTGGAGACTATAATGACGTAATTTATAAACCATCATCCAATGAAAATTCTTCCGTAACATCACGTGACATTTAAAACCGCCGAGGGAAAACACTTGAAAATTTGAAAATAAAGCGATATTTTATTTGTTTGTATGAAATATTTTCCAATTTTTGCTAGGCAATGGAGGAAATTCATCGCGATCTTTCGTCAGGTACATATTAAGATGCTTAGTTTTATAAATATCGAGTTTAACGTCTTGTATTGTTTAGAATATGGCTTTTTTTCTTGGTACAAAATCAGAAAGCAAGCAAGCGCGATACACTCACCGTTTGTATAAATGTTCTGTTGTAAATAATATATTTATTCAATGGATTCAATGCTACTATAAAAATCAACGCTTTATGTTTGTTTAAAAGTATATGCTGTAAGATGTCTGCATTTTGATTTTAGACTTTTTAGATAATGAAAAGTTCGACTTTGATTTGGCATTTTCACCAAATATAAACCAAATGTGAGTACATTAATAGCATATAAATATGATCTTAAAATGTAGATATTCAATAATGTGTTACTATGTGTAGAAACAACATTATAAGTTGTACATTGTAGTACAATAGCAAAGATCAAATATAAATATAATACAATGGGGTGCATAGTTTGTGCTGATTGCGATATCGACTCATGGAACTTTACCCCTAGCCTGTGAACAGAATGTATTATGCTGTAATACAGTCTGCACATTTCTCATAATTAGTAATTATACAAAATTATAAAAGATATCATTTAAGAGATTGAGTGGCAGCACTCTCTCCCCTTGACAAGTAAAATTGTTTGGTGTTAGACAGAGTAAAATAATAAAGTAGGGCACATCTGGGCGCATTGCCACTTGAAGGGTTAACTTCATAATTGCAATCATGGATTTTACTAATAGAAATGAACCTCAAGATGCAGATGATGAGGAAGTCTTTTTTGGTCCAGTCGGCTTCACCGAGCAATGCCTGGCAACCCGAACCAAGACTTTGCAAGATGAGAACAACATTAAACCATTAAGCCCTCTTACAGGAGAACAAGTTGTGGAAATCTTCAAGGAAGCGACAAAAGTTGCGTTACGGCTGGAAAAACTTTCTTCAACACAAAGTACAGATTCAACGTCAAACTCAAGCAAGAGTTCACTTTCAAGTTCAATTTTAAAGCTGTCAAGTGCAGGTTCGGAGTCCCCGAGTTGGTTAACTGGGAAACTGTCTAGTGGGAGCTCACAGGGGACAAGTTTGAATCAGTTTGAATTAGAGTTTGATAAGGAAAATACACAACCCTTGTCAATGAGCAATGAAAATTTTAGTTCTGATAAAAATAAGCATACTGCCTCAGCCAATAAAAGTGAGCAAATTGCTCCAGACATGTTTGAAAAAGAGAGAATTGTAAATTACACTGATGGTAAAATTGAACAAAATGGTAATTTTGATAAAGGCAGTACCAGTAGTTCTCCCAGTAAAAATGAGAAACATGTGGTATTGGGAGAACAGTTGATTTCAGAAAATACTACAAAGAGTAAAACTGACCAAAATGGTGATACCTGTAAAGCAAATATTCAACAATTACCAACTGAAGAAAATTTGAATGTTGCCAAAAATAAGCATTGTGCAACACTTTCTTATAAGCAAATAAATGCTGAGAAAGTGTTAAAAAGAGAAGTAACTGAACAGAAAGAACAGGAAGGAATGAAAGAGATAAAAAGTAATAAGATTCCAATGGCAAGAGCAAGGCCAAGGGGGCCGGGTTTACCTAGGCCTGGGTTAAGAAATTCAAGATTGCCAAAATCAAAGAACACAGAGAAGTCACAGAGCGCATTCAATTCAGTAAGTAAAAACTGAACTATCTATACTGATATTGTTACAAGAAATTAGCGTCTGTTTAATTAACTAGTTACTACAATCGTCCACAAAATATTTGAGACAACCCCCCCCCCCCCCCCCCCCCC